ACCTCCCAAGGTCAAAAGCCAAGAATAACTAGAACCCCTCATGAGTGGCACAGATCAGATTTATCATTCGTTTCCCCTTGTTCACCGCATTCCTACCAGTACCGTCACAAGGAGCTGAAGCGCCGTGTCCAGCATAGATATACACAGCTAATAAAACCTCTTTGGAAACACCTTCAATAAGCACGATAGTATGTCATCACCGGTGCGTTGAGTATTTGTCGTCTGCACTGAAAAGCGGTATTTAAGAAATTTCGACTGAAAACCTCGCCTTTGGTGAAATTTTTTGGAGTGCAAGTAGCGCGACGCTGTGAAAAAGGGGCATCCTGCACGCCACAGTTTTTTGGACCGTTCCTCATGCATTGAACGGCTGCGGTGGTTCCCAACCATGCTCGTGGTGATAATCTTCCAGTTGTTGCACCCAGCCTGGTACCTCCACCCGACTGTCTTGGGGGCTGTCAACAAGGGAAATATGGCTTTTGTCTTTTGGATTGCTAACTGGGATTTCAAGCAAACGTTTCGTCGTCAGTCGAAAACCTGTCATGCGTTTGCCGTTGAATGTGGGGGCGAGATGGCCCAAGTGGTTTGAGCGCGAATTTATTGACCGGAAGGTCCGTGGTTCGAATCCGACCTCCGCCTCTCGACTTCCCCTGTCTAGGCTTGGGCAACCTGGCAGTATCCCAGCCCTCGGCTTCGGCTGGCATGGCAGCTAGGCACCGGAAGGGTGCTACAGCTGAACGCCTTTTTTCGTTGAATGTGACACTACACTCCTTGTTGCCTTCTTTTATACAGCGTTTCTTGTGTCTGGTTAGTTTGTTGCTTTTCTCCCGCGCCCCCTATCTGGCGAATCGATCGTTACTCAAACGGCATTTTTGACTTCCAAATATCTCTAAGCGTGGTTAATACCTTGTAATTTTCTCTCTGTGTACTTGCTTCAGGTGTACTCCGGTCTAGTCATGGGATTGTTAAAATTGGTTCGCAATGAAGGAGTTTTCGCGTTGTGGCGTGGACTCGGGCCGTCCTGTATGCTGATCGTACCACAAACTGCTGTCACGTTTGCCGCGTACGAGCAGCTCAAGCGGACATATCAGAAGCATATAGTGGGCAGCGTGAATGCCTCTTCACCAGGTGCGAGCTGTTGTTTGTTTACGGATTACCTTGAATTTTCGTCCTGAGGGTTGTATTGATTCAGCCAGCACCTTTGACGCCGCAGCCATCAGGCTGATACCACAGTGCTTTTCGCACAGCGTCGCATACCCTTTTTGAAGACAAGAATAACTGTCAAAGCACTCCATTCTACAGGCACTTTATCTTCACTCCATATTGCATCACTTAGTTTTGTCAGATAAGTCACCGGGGATTCTCCATCTTTGAAGGGGGCTGGATGTAGGTCGGCCGGTCCTGGTGCGTTCTCACGTTTCAGTGCTGATATCTCCCTGATCTTGTCCTTCTAAGGTTGACTGAACAGAAGAAGAAACAGATCCATGAAAACAACACTTGGTTCCGTTCTATAGGAGGATGTGTCGACCACAGTTTCACTTTCCAATGCTTTCTAGAACAGAGATACTGCTTCCAGCAACCGTTACTGATTTTCTTTCTCGACTTGAAATCTGCATTCGACTCTGTGGACGGTCAGAAAATATGGTAGTGTCTATGGAACAAAAGTGTCCCTTGTGAGTCATTGACCCTCCTTGAGGTTGTGTACGCCAACTCCCGAGGACGTGTGAATACCTGCGGGATGCTCTCACCTAAGTTCGCTACATCAAGTTGTGTCAGGCAAGGCTTCAACATTATTAAAGACTTACTACCAGCCTTCAGTGCCTGTGAGATCGAAATGCTTCCGGGGCGTTCGCTCGCAGATATTGACCTACAAGATTGGGTGTGTTGGAACTCTAACTCCATGCTTGTAGACGAGCCGATTAAGGAGGTAGAGAAGTTTGTATACCTGGGCGGCTGTATCAGTCCCGGTGGTCTAGCTAAGGACGCTATTTCCTCCAGGATTGGAAAGACCAGGGCGACTTTCGTGAACCCGCATTACCTGTGGCGTAGCCATTAGTCTATCGGTCGAGGGCGAGTTTACAATGCTGCATTGCGCTCCATGTTAGTATACGGGTCAGAAACCTGGTAGTCGCGCACTTAGGACGTCAAAAGGCTCTCAGTGTTGGACGATTGATGTTTCCGGAGCATTGTCAGATTCTGGCGGGAACACCGGATCAGTAATGCTGAAGTATGTCGAATGGTTTTCGTAAGAAACAGCTCGCCTACTGTAGTGGATTGATCACATCCCATAGGTTTCGCTGGCTTGGTCCGTATGCCAGTCGACTGAATTACTCCAAGAGCACTTTTCCTCGTGAAGGGTGGAATCGATCCAGGGGAGGTCAATAATTTGGTAACGAAATATCAGCTGTGCTGGTTATTGCCGTCTCCTTGGATGGGAATTTGAGACAGGACACATCAATGAACATAGATATTATTACACATGGCCCAGTCACCTCTCAGTGGCGCTCATGCATCCGAACTATTGCCTTCAATGCTTCCCAATTTACCCGGTAAAAAGTCCACTGACAACCCTGTGTTTGCGCATCAATTATATCAGCTACCACCTCCACTGCGTAGCTATCTACCCCATCTCCCGAAATTATCGGTGAACGAAACTACAGCGGTCATGGGCACTGTACGGTGAGTACACGTCTTTTGCAATTGGTGATGATGATAACTGATTCAGCCGTTTTCACTATCTATTTACACGTCGATTGCAAACAAATTATGCACCCCAGCGAAAAAAAGGTTCAGCCGTAGCACCTTTTCGGTGCCTAACTGTCATGCCACCCGTAGGAAGCATGAGGGCTGGGATACTGCCAGGTTACCCAAGCCTAGACAGGGAAAGTCNCGGGTTCGAACACGGACCTTCAGGTCAGTGAATTCGCGCTCTAACCTCTGAGCCATCCCACCCCCAATGAGATAGGTAACATATACCAAGGGAGTGAAAGTATGACGAACACTTTTTTCCAGTTACAACAAGTGATATCCTAATAGCTGTTGTAGTGGATCACCTGACGTGGCGCCCGTGCACGATTTCAAATTGCGTTCTGCCTCCAGTGTTCACAATCTGTATAATGTTTCAGAAAAAAAGACTACCCGGGTATACCAGTTGTAACCAGGCCACACGGTATGGGATTCTACTGGAAGCTTAAAAGTGACTTGAATAGCGCTTCCGTTTGACAAACAAGATACTGAACTTTTGGCCTTATTTGTGTTCTTTTGGGCAGACCGATCTAGGCATTTGAGTGGTCTTCATGGTGCCCGTTAAATGGTACATCCACAACATTCGGAGTCTCGAACTTATCCGATGTCGATGTCTTCAGTGGTTTTGTTGACGCTTTCTGTCCAAACTCGACACTGAGCTAACCAAAATTCACTGTTACCGCCATCTTGTGCAGGGTAGCCCCGGGAGGCCTACCAAAAAAAAACTGGCTGTCTATTGTATTACTATACTCCGTTTTACGGAGAGAGTCGCACCGTTTGGCTTTCCTTTGGACGGAAAATGGTCACCGTGCACCAAGTCCCTAGACTGTTTTCAGTTTTTATTCGACATCATACACCTGTGCTTCACAGTGAGCTACCTGACCTAATTGATCCTAACCGAAAATTCTTTAACATTCATTTTGGGTGACCCTTTAATTAGACCAGGCCTGACAACGTTGAAGCGCACAAATGTTCCGCTATAATCCGCTTTTGTTTCAATTGCGTAAGTAATTAGATTGGATCATTTTAATTTTAGCCAAAACTACACTTTCACGATTTCTCTCTCATTTTATGGCTTTCGTGGTGGTTGTTAGCCACACTGTTCTAAGTTCAAATGGCCTACTTCACTTTATTTCTCTAATACTCTTCAGACTTGAAGGAATCGCTTCCCCGGTGGGCTAGTCTCTTAGCTGGCTCTGTGTCTGGATTGGTCGCCAAAACAGCAGTTTACCCATTGGATCTAATCAAGAAACGTTTGGCTGTTCGTGGCTTCGAAGAGGCTAGGCGCTGTTTCGGTCAAGTCCCGGACTCATATACAGCCGCTTCTTATAAGGTATCTACCTTGCGCCGAGTGCCGACACAGTTCTATGCCACACTCGCTTGCTTTCGTGGCATTTTGGTTCAAGAGGGTCTCATTGGACTGTTCAAAGGCTGGACACCTTCAGCATATAAGGCCATGCTGAGCACGGGCCTCACTTTCTTATTTTTCGAACAGTACTTGCAACTTTTGAAAAGTTCATCTTGACCTCCGTATCCCACTGTCTTTCATTCGCCCCCCCCCCCCCCCTCCTCTCAACGGTCTCAACACTGCTACGTTCCTATCTGTCAAGTAGACATATATGTATTTCCCATGAATTTGTCTGCTTTGAAGAGACCTGTAGCTACGATTTAGCGTAGACTCCGTCGCGCCGTCTATTGGTTATAGCAGTGCTGATATGGGAGCTTTTTCGATAGCCTAATGTTACAAAGCTTCCACACTTCCAGTGTCACGTGAAACGTTTCCGGCCTTCAATTGGGAGGCTTAAGTCTAAGAACGCTCAACATATTCTGTTCGATAGGTATTTATGCTCGGCGAAGAACCTTTGGCTGACGGCAAAACACATCCTTGTCTCAGTGTTTCTCCGTGGGGACAGGGGTGGTTGAGCACAGTACTGCACGCTTTCTGCATCGGTGGGATACTATCTTGGATCTATCCGGATGTTTTAAAGGGCGATGTGATAATTCATTTTGTCTGGATAACCCTTTTATGGATTAGCTAGATGAGTTCATAGTACTCTGTGTCATCACATTCAATCAAAATCCACGAAGACGTGTTGTAACCGTGATGAAGACGCTTGCACTTATGGGAATTCAATAGATATAGGGCTTTCGTGAGTTGGCTCGTCCTACATTCCAAAACGGTTACGCTTTGTTGTGTATTGCAGCTATGACTTGTTCCATCTACCGGTGCTTTACACATATTCTGGCTCAGTTGATGTCCTACTTGAGTTAGGTCGAGTCAAAAAGAGCCCAGTGGTGTGGCGGTACAGTTTGTGAGCACTTCTTTTGTGCTCAACGGTTTACTATAACAGCTAACTAGAAAATCTGCGGTGCGTGACGCCTCCGTTATGTAAGGGTAAACGGAATGCGTCTCCTCTCCAATCGCCATGAGTTACCATTTGAACCAACAGGGAATAATCATGTGTGGAACCGATTTGTTTTCGGTTGCTGTCACATGGAACATCTGGGTTTGATCAGTCCACAACATGCAATCTTCACCGGATTTATTTGGATTCCCTGTCGTTAAAAGCACTAGTCTTTACCTTCCCACGAAAGCGATTTGATAACCAAGCTGTCCACTGGGAAACAGGAAAAAAGAGCGGGCAAGACAATTTGGGACAATGTGGGTTTCGAATTTCGGCTTTTGAATCGCTCAAAATACGGTTAACTGCACTCGTCGATACTGGTTGAGGTCGAGCTCACCTCAAAATTGCTAAGTACGACATCCGGCTTCTTTCTCCCAATACTATTTTTAGTTCAGTGGTCAGAGTGCGAATTTGCTGACTGGAAGGTCCGTGGTTCGAACCCAACCTCTGCCTCTCGACTTTCCCTGCCTAGGCTTGGGCAACCTGGCAGTATCCCAGCCCTCGTGCTTCCTTCGGGTGGCATGGCAGTCAGGCACCGAAAGGGTGTTACAGCCGAACTATTACTATTATTACATTTGGATACCACATTTATTTAGATTCTACATACTAGTTCTGATGAGCCGTGTATTGTGAGTGCAGAGAGAATTATCATCGCGAGCTATAAATTCTGGCACCCAATCACCACAAAATGAAGAACGTCCGCCTTAAAAGACTGAAAAGCCTAATCTCCTCAAAAAGTGATCAAGAAAAGCATTGAAATGAACACATCCGAACATTCTGTAGAACTTCATAGTTTCTATAGGGCTTCATCACCTGGAGATTGGTTCAGTGTTAGCTTATCGCTCTGTTGGGAAGCAACAGCATACTTTCCACTGAGTTCGGTAGGATGTCTACTCATACAAGGATAATACGATGATCCCACACCATCGCTGAGCTGTATTCACCTTCACTTCGCGCTTTCGTCTCAACCTGTTCACAGGGAGAACCCTTTTCATGCTGTTTACGCTGTTTCACGCTGTCTACTTGCACAGGCAGCGTTTTATCGTAGGCTCGATGCAGCCAACCAAATCTTACCGCGGCACAAGAACACCGGTGATCCATTACGCGCAGACCGAATATGCCTTTTTTACCCGTTCGTTCAGCTGTAACACCCTTTTGGTTCCTAGATGCCATGCCACCTGAAGGAAGCACGAGGGCTGGGATACTGCCAGATTGCCCAAGCCTAGACAGGGGAAGTCGACAGGCAGAGGTCGAGTTCGAACCACGGACTTTCAGGTCCGTAAATTCGCGTTTTAACCACTAAGCCATCTTGACCCTTCAGAGCGAACATAAGTAAGTGATGAAGGAAACTACTCACAAGGTTGCTGGAAAGTCTGAGACATCCCAGGACCAGTTTCACTCTTCTTGTGTATCGTCAAGTAGGCACAGTCCCCGAGTTTCCGTCAACCTTGTGTTCTACATGAACTCAACACGAAATCCGCATAACAACATGGTTTTCACGGGAGACAACTGAATCCTCCGTTTATGATATTTTTCAATTAAATGCGATGCACGAAGGTCGTCTCATGTTTCACTTGGTATGATATTTGAGGTGTCGTAGTACATTTTCAGAAAGGGAATTACTCACCAGGTTACTGGAACTCCTGGACAGCCAATGACCGATTACGCCCTTCATGTGACTCGTCGGGTAGGCGCAGTCCTCGATCTCATCAGGGTTATGCCTGTGTTATATTATACCATATCACTACTATATATTTTTACATGCGATCATCAGTTATGATGTTTGCATTATAATACAGTACAATTTAGTGTTATGTCGTGTAATATTATTCCGAAATAATAATGCATGATGTATATGGTGATCCTCACGGGAGACCTGAGTATTCACTATCCATTCGAAACACCTAACCATTCGCTTATAATCGGATTTTCAACGACTGATCAGACGAAATATTTCATCTGAAATCAAACCTCCCTCTGTGCTAATCAGTCAATGCATTCGTGGTGTGAAAGTCAAAAGAATCAGATTGTAAACTAAAGGATCAAATGAACGACCCTCATCTACTTGCCTGATCAGTTCTCAGTGATCTCGTCACCTTGGATCCCTACCGAAATGCTTTGAGCCAACTCGTTTCGGTCGAGCGCAGTCGTCCCTCCTCATAGTACTTGAACAGGTGCCAGAGGGTATTTATGTCAGCTGGATTCAGAGTATCATGAGTAGTATTCCAAAGTTTACGGATAGTGGACCAGTGACCCTAGCCTGGATGTACGGGTTCAACTGTAATTTGATGCCCTTCTCCCACCGGAAGTCCAGGTTTTCCCATTTTATTTTTATACTACTACTGGCTTCTAAGTAAGCAACTCATGAACCGAGAACGACAAATTTGTGCAGGTCCACCCACCTTGCGTGCGCGCACCAGATCGCTGCTAAAGGAGAGCATGGTGTGAATGTGTGAGAAGTCGGTTCTCTTGAATACTGCCAAGTCAGTGTTGGTCGTCCTCTACAACTTGATTTGGGTAGAATAAGTCTAAGCTAGGCTGTCAAGTTGGTAATTTGTTGAAATATTGGTAACTTGGATGGGTTTATTGGTTGTTGATCAGGTAGCTGTTGATCTGTTCGCCGAGCTTGGAAATTGGCTCGCAAACGTTTCGTTACCAGCCACTTGATCAACAACCAATAGGCTGTCAAGTGTTCCAGTTGAATCTTGCGGCGGGCGGTGACCGCCATTGTGCTTCTAAGATCGATTGAAGCTGATGGTACTCATTTCTCCCATTGCCTGGAGCCTATCGATTTGATGATGGATCAGCTAGTCCCGACTATTCTGTTTCCTCACAGATAGCACTGAAAACACCCACGTCTTGTAACTGTCCGTCGATGTGTGGTTTCTGAGGTCGCTAAGACCATTATCGATCTCAGATTCAACCACCGACTACGTAACCGGAGCTACGGATGCATTTTGTTGCATACCAACTTTCCAAATGAGTCTAATCTACAGTCGTCAAATACAAGTTCACAAGCTCAAACAACAATAATCATCCCACCCAGAACTGTGCTTCATATGAATAGCTAGTTGTGCATGGTGATTCTGGAATGTTGTTGCCCATAATCTGAAGATGTCCGCGGTTAACCGCAGCGGTTCGGGTAGTCTACTGGATTCAATTCGGTGTTTGCTGACCATCCCTCTTATTTCGAGGACTGACGCCTCTGAAACTTCCCTTTAATTAACCTATGCATTTGAATGGAGGGATAACTTCTTCTGAACAGATGACATTGGAAGATAGACATCTTGCCAATCAGACATCAGATGTCTCTGGAACCTATAGGCGAGACGCTGGATGTTGTAGAATACTATGTGTATCTTGGAGGATGCGTTGGCTCTGACGGTGGACTGACAGATGAAGTCAGCACACGAATAGCAAAAGCCACCTGGAGCCTTTTGTACCGTCTAGCAGTATATTAACTGTATATCAAAGAGCGCGCGTATCATAGTGTCAGGGTCCAGTACTGGTTGTGTGAGGATTAGTGGCTGACTGGATAGTCTGAAGGTTTTTACTACCGAGGTCTCAGGTTCACAGCTACAATCAGATATAGAACTGGGGTAGAATAAGCAAATACTTGGAGATTTCGTCAGGGAACGGGAGTTTGGTGGAAAAACAGCTGCTTCATCTGGGGAATGCATCCATCACTGTGGTCGCTTTGCAGTGTGTTGTATCTTGTGGGTGGCCGTCTATTGAGTTACGCCTGCACTGAGCCTGCCAGGCTACGCGATAGGGAGAAGACAGAGAACTGAGAACACGGCTGTATTGCCAGTACAAAACATACAGAGCGTCTGCGTAATGTATAGGATGACTAAATGGCCAAACATGGTCGTTCGCTTGTTCGTTCCGTACAGCCAATGGCAGTGTTCCGGCCGTGAAGCATCTCAGGCTCACTACGCTGGTCATGTGTTTCTAAGCCATGTTTGGTGGGAGCCGCCAACTCACCTACTTTCCGGACGTGTCGCACCGATGGTGACCTTGGGGATGCGTCACCCTCTGCACATGTGCTTTTTTTCCCGTCTGGGCGCGTCCTGACACAATGTTCTTGGCTTTGTCAAGTTACCCTTCACCTAGAAGAACATTGTTTTCCACTTCTGATTTGAAGTGGCATAAACCTAAAGGTGGACGAAATACTATCTGCCTGGTGGGACTAGGGGATGTTACGAAAAGTCTGGGCGCATCGCTGGAAAGACACGGCCGCTGACCGATGTCAGTGGTGCTCATGCTATCACTTTCCATCCAGATTGCCTGACAGAGTGTTATAGGTATGGGTACTTCGAGCGATTGTAGTAAAGTCATCCGAGATTCTTCTGCCTGTCACGTTTTATTCACCTAAATCGATGCGACTGTGCGGTGATAAAACACCAGTGTTCTTAGCTAGTGTTACTGTTCATGGTAATAATGAGAGTAGGGAGAGGGGAGAAAAAGCTGTGATGGACGGATACAATCAAACCCAACAAATGAGCCACTTCCGGTGGGTTTTGGCAATAGTGGGCCGATATTCTGTGCGGCGAACTTTTCCTTAAATCGCGGACGAAAAGTGCACCTCGTGGTGAGCAGGTATTAGGAAACCTAAGCAAATGAATTCCCTCATAGATGCGAGGGGCTGGATATGTTAATATCACTAGGAGGCTCAAGTGGAACAGTTAAACCATAATTTTTACTGATACTCCACTTGTCATTCACGAGACCTTACCTTACTTTCACAAAGAAAAACAGGACGGAGGTGGAGGAAACCGACACAGATGTCTAAGTTGATTATCTGGTAATATAAACTATTAATATGTCGTGCGCTACTCTTTAATTGTTCAAGATCCCAAACTCTCAGTCAGCCAGACTGACTGATAACGATGCAGCTATTTGCATAAGGTGGTCAGTGAGAAACAAGTCTGTAGAACAATGCAGCCCGTGAACACATGAAATGTGGGAATGATCATGATCTATTGGGGTCTGCACTGAATTCCAAAGACGTAACAGACTCATCTAGAGAACAAATGGAGCAAGTGGACATGTCACAGCTCGAAGTCGAAGGCCCTTCTAGGTGATTTTTGTTGCCTGAATCTTGTGGGGAATATTGATGTATGCCCACTTTGACTTAGTTGGCTTTGAGGAACAGTTGAAAAGCCGGACGGCTGTGATGCCTACCTGTCAAGAAATCTCAGTATTTTGTGCTTGAACATTGAAAGTGTGAAAAGAAGGGGCGTGGATTTAATCACCGCGAAACAAGACGAAAGCGGTTACAAGTTTTTGGATTCGCACGTTTTATCATTACCATGCACCGTTGCATTGGTAGTCGACGAGGAGCGATGATTTTGCCACCAAACTGGTTGGCTATTTACAGCGAGAAAATTTTTCGGCATAAAGGAGGTCTGCCATGTGAGCTACGTAGTTGAAGTTTGGCCGCACTTCGACTTTGGTTTACCACATCGTAGCTCAACGTAGCGATGATGACAAAACCATGCTCTTGATCCCCTTTCAATTGCGCCATTCGACGCAAAGAGAAATTATAAATTGGACATTTGTCTACAGTTTTCGTGGCTTTTGCGTCGCGGCACCA